TTTTTTTTTTTTGATAAGGTAAATAATTTATTAATAAATGGGAGAAACCCCGCGTACAAGCCATATACTAAAAAGAAGAGAACCTATACCCCTCTTTTTATCTCTGAGTTTTTGATTGTTATTTTGTTTAGTTTTTCTGCTATCCTGGGGCAGGGGGGGAGAGGGATCTTGTGAAACCGGTTGACAGCTCTGCAGCTGCTAACCGGCTTGGTGGTATTGTTTGAGTATTAATGAGTCAATTAGGCTTACTTTTGCGTGAATGGAATACTACTTTTTATGAGTCAAGTGAGTAAGCTGCTCACTTTAATATTGGTATAACCTGAAGATTCTCTTGAGGTGCTATAGAACTGCTTTCATGCTGACCTCTGCATGCTCTTGCGTAATTGATTCAGTAAGAGATTTGATCATAAATGATATTTCACTGAAATTGCTCCCCTTAATTTTTTTTGCTAAGTTGAGAACATATTTTGATTCCTAAGTTAAGCATATACAAATGAGTGATCTCATGATCTATTCGAATAAGCTAGCAAAACTAACCCAATTAAAAAAAACAAATTAAGTGCTAAACTAAAGCTTGTTGAAAACCTGTCATTCTAGTTTTGCCACTCAAGTACTTTTTAGCTTGGGCTACTTTTGCTCCGGATTAGTAAATTCTTGAAGTGCAACTGACTTGAAAAACAATCTAGGCATCTTCTTTCTTGATCAAGAAGTATTCTTGCTTTTGACTTCGACGGATAACTCAGTGGATGAGTTTTAGAATAATTAGCTCATTGGACGAGTCTAGACAATGACAGACTAATTTGTGATATATAGACTCTTGCATCTTGAGACTATCAAAACATTTGCCTACAAAAAATATACTTAACTCTAGTTCTCGCAAAAGTCTGTCATTTATGTTGCAGCAGATGGTACCATAACACTATTTACCCTAGGTGAAGAAGTTATCAGTGAATTGGGAAGAATTTGCTTGCCACATTCTAAATTCCATGAACTCTTAATCATGTCATTGGTTCAAAGTTGAGGTTATACTATCTGTAAGAAGATGTAGTATAGTTGGTACTGCAGCATACTCCTTAGATATTCCAATAGTGCATGTTATTGGATATTGCCCTTTCCGATTTAGGTTCCAAAATGGAAACCTTGGGCATAAAATTGTTACTACTTTTTTTTTCTTCCTTTTGTGTACAGGATTATTAAATAAACCACCTGAGGAGTTTGAAGATGCTAACTAAGTGGAGTGAAATTGACTTCTCATGAGATGGAAAATTATTGTGTAGCCCTAATATGAAAGTCTCAAATTTCTAAAACTTCTAGCTTAGACGGCATAGGCCATGTTATTACGTTGTGTGAATCATTGCTGAAGTAGTTGAAATATACTTTGCTTAAAATCATTCTTTTTCGGTTCTCTTGTCAGACAGGCAAAACCGTGTATTTAATTGCATATTCACATCAAACTTTTGGTGAAATATATTCTTCTCTAAATATTACCAAAGGAGTTAATCGCCTCTTTCTGTAATTACTGCAGGATCAGATTTCTCCATTTGTATCTTCTGTTTTCTTACGTAGGTTGCTCCTTCCGGGTGTTTATCATAGAAATGTTCTTCGGGCAACATTACGAGATTTTAGCAAGCACTTCACTGATTCCGAATTTGATTCTTTGACTGTGGATGGACTGAAAAATGAAATTCTGTCAGTCATTCAACATGAGGTATTTTCAGTTGCATGTGGATTTGTATAGTGCTTCTATTGATATTTCCAGGTTTCTATTCCATAAATTTCAGGGTAATTCAGTACTTTTTTCTCCTTTTTCAAGGTGGGAGCTGATAGTCCAATTTCAATACTTCAGAGCTGGAAAACCTTTTGTACCTGCTATTTCAATAATTGGTGCAGAACCAATGTAGCGTGTGGTTTGCTTATTGATTCAGCCACACAAGCTGTGGGTGTTATTAGAAAAAACTCAGTCTCCATTTGTCGTAGTCTCGAGGACATAGAGCTTCTTGTTTCTAGTACGTCAAACATTTTTTTTTGAGATCTTATTTTCTTACTTGATTTGTCTTTCTCTTGTACGGTCGTTGCAATTTTCCTTATTCAATTGCTCTTTAATTTATGCTCTCAGGATCTTCTGATGAACATGGAAATGTAATAAGCTCTGGGTTGGACTCCTCTAATAATGATCTTGAACGGGAAATTCTTTCAGAGATACTGCAGTGTGTTCGTAATCTCAGTCAACAGTTGAGCAAAGCTGCTCCTACCATATTTTATGAATCGCTTCTTAGAACACCAAATTTATCATCTGAAGAGGTCATTTCACGGTTGCTTAAAAATTTAGAAAGTGGTTATAGCTCATCAATGGCAGCTCTCCATGTATCCGAACTCGGAACTGATGTAGCACTGGATAAGGAAATTTCCTACCACAAAAGACTCAGAAAATTCTCAGTAGATATGCTTTTATCCCTACACAACTTGTGCAGTAGAGCTACCAAATGGGGGAGAGTTTTGCATGTTATTGAGAGCTACTTGAAATTTCTCGTGCCTCGAAAATATGAACATAACTTGGATTCTGATGGACTATTCACAGTCAGCACTGCCCTTACAGTGCAGGCGACTTCTCAGGTTGCTAAAGTGATGTTTGAATCTGCATTGGACGTGCATTTGCTTCTAAGCTACATGGTTAACAGTAGCAGTCAGGTGTGTGTTACTTTTGTTATCAGAGATCATCAATATCCAGAATTGGCTGTGTGGTACAAGTTAATAATATCCTAGAATTGTTGTTACTTCTTGTTCTATGCTCCATTTTCTATTGTCTTGGTTTTGCAGTACATTAAATATTGAAATATCAAAAACTACTGTTTCAATACCATTTTCTTGAATGCTAACGTATCTTTCCGATAGTTGGGGCGTGCATGGTGTTGTTGACTACCTGTCTATTTTAACTTTGGCTATTGCTATTCTGTGTAGTGGACAAGTTGCAGATATCCTTATGAAGTAAATTTTAGAATAGTTCTTTGTCTTAAAATTGACAAGAGTGGGTTGCTCTAGTGGTGAGCACCCTCCACTTCCAACCAAGAGGTTGTGAGTTCGAGTCACCCCAAGAGCAAGGTGGGGAATTCTTGGAGGGAGAGAGCCGAGGGTCTATCGGAAACAGCTTCTCTACCCCAAGGTAGGGGTAAGGTCTGCGTACACACTACCCTCCCCAGACCCCACTAGTGGGATTATACTGGGTTGTTGTTGTTGTTGTCTTTGCTCCCGTTGAATAAAAGGTCATATCAGTGAATATGACTTAAATGTTTGGAGCAAGTGATCTAGAGCCCTCAAACCCTTTTAAGATAGAGATTTCCCTTTTTAACCCTTATATTATTATGATAATATCAATTAATCAGCTCTTTAAAGAATTAATTGCATTATTCAATCTCATATTCAATTGCTTTAGCAATTTTGCTACTGATAATAAGCTTCAATTCCAATAGTCATTCTTTTTTGTACGAACAATCGGTCTGTAGATAAAAATCGAAACTAAAAACATAGTTGAGGGTGTAGAAGGAAAGGAAAAAAGTACTCCCTCTGTTTCAACTTATGTGACATTCCTTATTAGTCCATTCCAAAAAGAATGACACATTTCTATATTTGGGAATAATTAAACATTAAAGTTCCCATTTTACCCTTAATGAGAAGATTTTATAGCCACACGCATGTTATGATCCCGCAAAGCTTTTACCCTTTAAGCTAAGTGACCATAAGTTTCAAAAGTCTTTTTTTTTAAAACTCCGTTCCGAGTCAACCTACATCACTTAAATTGAAACGGATGGAGTATCATTTAACGCAAGATAGTGTAAAAGAGAAGTCCAAAGGCAGAAGTAGCAACAAAAGAGGTTGGCTACTACCAAGGAGGAGTTACCTTGAGGAAAAGAAACAGGAAAAACAATATCTAGAGAAGTAGAGAGACAGAAGTAGTGGAAGAAGATTTGTCCCGAAACAGATTTTAAAAAAGAAGAAAACGAAGAAGTCTGAAGTGTGCCCTCAGAGGAATCTTTGTACCAAAGTAGCATAAGGCTTTATCTTTCTCATTTTTTCCTCTCATTTTTTTCATCTCTTAAAGTCTGATTCAGTTAAGTGAGGAAAAGCAAAACAAAGAAAAGAAGTTAGAAGGAACAAGGCAACCTTTAGGAAGTTAATGGGCTTATAAAAGAAGTGGTGATGTATAGTTTTTTTTTTGTGTGGATAAAGATCCCTCATGAGACTTGGTATGATTTCAATCTGATAGAAGTACTGAAAATGCACTGGATTTCTCAATTCTTAGCTCATACAGTAGTAAATATGGGATGCTCATATGTACAAGTATACTGTGATGTTTGCTTTATTGCCTTTTTGTGCAAGCATAATGTATATTTCTTCTTATAACACTAGATACTACTGATCACTATAATCATGGAACAATTAATGTTTGCGGAAACCGTTGCAATCCGCATATGAAAGTCACTACATAAAGTAATGATTTAAAAATACCTTTAGGAGTCTTAAGTAATAATTAGACGGAATTAATTGTGGTCTTTGAAGCTCCATATATCTGTGTTTTTAGCTTAAAAAATAATGAACTGGATGAATTATTTTCTATGTTAGATAATAATCTGCCAGATTACACTATTTCCGCAAAGAAGATAACAATTCAACAACATCATTTTTGTGTTTATACTGAAATTCTTGTTTTCTTTAATGAGAAGTTGAAAAAAAAAGGCCAAATACATAAGTGGCCCCTTAAATTTGTCCGGATTTTTTTATTTAGACACTTAAACTAAGCTTTGTTCCTATTGAACCCCTGAACTCGAGTCAAAGTGTGCCAATTAGACATATCTTGCTGACATGGCAAAGTATGTGTGCAACAATCATTTTGAGCGCGTCAAGCCAATATCTTTTAACAAAATATTTTGCTCTCCTTCTTCCTCACTCTCGTTCCCTCTCACCATCTTCCGCCACCCTTGCTCTCCCATCTAGTAGGGAGAAAAAGGAACGACTGTAGAGCCACAAAAACAAAATATAAAACACTCTTTCATTCATCATTTCCTTCTCTGAGTTTTTCTATTGTTTTGGTGTCAAATCCTTAACAATTAAGCTTAGAATTTTTATGTTCACGCTGGAACATCCATCATTTATCTTAATTGCAACTTCTGAACAATTGTCACCGTCCAGTGATTTCTTTCCCAAGTTCACATTCACCATCGGAGCAATTCCCAACACCAACTGTGATACCTCCATCACAATTCTCGATGTTGGCGGTTGGTGATACCGTCAACTGAAAGCTCAGATTCCTTATCTCTGGCAATACAGAAAATCCAACATTCAACAAATTCATTAGACTCGGTTGTCACACCGCATTCTTATTCTTAGAGTTGGGAACTCAACAAAGATGAAAGCTTGTGGATAAATACCGTACCTAGTTCACATAATTCTTGAAGAACTGATATGAACCAATTTTCTTTCTTTTTGCTCTATTTTTGTTATCTGATCAAAATCAAAACTTAGAAAGTAACTTTCGGTATGGAAATGGAAGACAAAGAAAAATAGAAGTAAGGGATAGGAGAGAGAAGTAATGAAAACAAGAAACAATGTGTCGGAGAAATCTCCAAAAAATTTCCATTACCCAATATCTTATCACTGTAATTTGGGGTCATCTCCACAAAATTTTCATTACCTAATTCAATATGGTAAAAGTGATCACTGATAAGGATCACAAGAAGAAGAGCAGGGGACCGGGGGTAAGAAGGAGAGAAAAGGGGGAGGATGGGAGATCCGGAATTTTTTTTTTCACGTGTCACATTCTTATTCTTCTATTTTGCCATGTAGGAGGAGTTTGACAGCATGCTCCTAAGCTGTTTTTGAGATTGTGCCATGAGATTGTGCCAAACGTGTCTGATAGGAACATTTAGACTTGAGTTTAGGTGTTCAATAGGAACAAAGCTTAGTTCAAGTGTCTAAATGGAAAAAAACGGACAAGTTTAAGGGGCTGCTTATGTATTTAGCCAAAAACTAAGTTTATGAAAGCTGTTGGAAGCTTTTAGTATCAAATAGGATTTTGGTGCAATTTGTCTTTGACTATCAGGATCTCAAATGTTCTCTTCTTGCAGATTGGCATGTCAGAGGATGAGGTTTCAAGAGTTAAAATTGAGTTAGTTCCAATGATCCAAGAGGTTCTTACTGAGTGGCATATCATCCATTTCTTCAGTACCACACCATCTGAATCTCCTCTTCTTGAAGACTTCAGCAGTCAACTTTCATCTTTACAGCTTGGTATGTACCACTCTATTGTGATGAAGAGCTATTATGGACTATCCTAGGTCGGCTGCTTATTGCATGTCAGTTGATGTATCTAAGCAGACTCAATTAAACTTTTATGATCTCTTCTGTGGCTCTGGTAGTCATAACGGAAATTTGAAGGACCATCTTCTGACTGAAAAGCGGTGCGGGTATTAATCACTAGTGGACACTGTCTAAAATTGCAAAAAAGAGCTTTACAGTAAGGGTGTAACATCTTGAGGAGCATTGCAAAAACTAGAGGGAGACTGATACAACCTAGGGGAGAACCACACCCCAAAAGCTAGTTATTAAGGTGGGAGAGTGAAAGGCTATATAAACCCCACATCAGCACTTTGTAGTACCGATGTGGGACTCTAGTCCCATTCCTTGCAATAGACCATAACAAACCACCACGCTCCGCATTCGTCGTCCTCGACGGCTATGCGCAGCAGAAGCGTGGTGGTTTGTTATGGTCTATTGCAAGGAATAGGACTTGAGTCCCACATCGGTACTACAAAGTGTTGATGTGGGGTTTATATAGCCTTGGGCTCTCCCACCTTAATAACTAGCTGTTGGGGTGTGGTTCTCCCTATGTTGTATCAATGGTATCAGAGCCACCCTCCGTGCCCACCATGCCTTGGATTGTGACGCCGGTATGCAGTGTTCGCCCAGGGCGAGAAATGTCTAGCGCACAACCGTCAAGGACGACGGATGTGGAGCGTGGTGGTTTGTTATGGTCTATTGCAAGGAATGAGATTTGAGTCCCACATCGGTACTACAAAGTGCTGAGGTGGGGTTTATATAGCCTTGGGATCTCCCATCTTAATAGCTAGCTTTTGGGGGTGTGGTTCTCCCTAGTTGTATCAGAGGCCTTCAGTGGGAAGGTTGTTGCAACTAAATTGGGATTGCTTCACTTATTATTTTAGTATTAGCTTCTTATCTTGGAATCGAATGGGTAGAACGGAAAGAAATCTAGTCAGTGTTACAATATAAATAAAGCGTGTCATTAATTTCTATTTTTTCGAGTAATATTTGTGACTGGTGCTGCTTATTCTTTTGCAATATGTATAATTATTGTAAGTCGAAAACTAGGGATGCAAGTGATGGAGGTTTCGAGTTTTGCTTTTTCTTCTTTTTTCTTTGTGTTTTTCAGATTCCCTTTCTGTAATTGTGGATTAGAGGTAACTTTTTTGACACTTCTAGATTGATTGCTATGGTTTTGTATGTTTATCTATGTTGTCAGATGGCAATGTTGATCGGAGATCATGGAATGAGAAACTTGGTAAATCTGAATTCACATTGGCCTTCATTCTGTTACTTGGAGGTCATAGCAGTCCATCTTTCAGACATCTGCCTGATCCCAGCAGTCTAAGTAGTTCAGTACAAGAATTTGCTAGCTGGATAATATGGGGGAGAACAGGAGCAGAACCGTCTGTTTTCTTCAGTCATTCGGTTGGCCTTGCTCTAGTGTTACTTAGACATGGGCAATATGATGCTGTTGAGGTAGGTTGCTGTCATTTTCATTTTATGCTCCCCAAAATAATTCTTAAGATCTTACTGAAACAATTTGTTCTTTCATCCAGTATGTACTCGGTTTGGTGGATACGTATTCGCGCAAGGAGAAGATCTTCCAAAGTCTTCAGAGCGATGGTGGGGAGTGGTCCACTCTGTTGCATCTTCTTGGTTGTTGCTTTATTGCACAAAGCCAACGTGGCTTGCATGGAACAATGAAAGAAAGAAAAATTTCTGAAGCAGTTCGGTGTTTTTTTCGGTATGTGTAGGCTTTAATGCGAAGTATCTTGTTACTTTTACAGTCACAGCTATGAACTGGATATCTCCAAGAAGATATTTACAGCTGCAGGTCAGATTTAGTGTTTAGTCTGGAAAGAACTGGTATATCGAGGATCAAAAAGTGATCTTTTGTGACTGAAATAGGAGAAATTTGTGGGCACATAGCAAATTGAAATGAAAATAGAAGACCGAAGGTTGAGGCATGAGAGTGAGATAAAATCAGAAGGAGATTGCAGCATCTCAAATGGTAACTTTGATACTGACAGTAACTGTATTGAGGCTTGTTGCTGCTTGGTAAAATATGTCCCAACAGATTTGAGATTGTTAGAGACATTAAAGTTGCTTTGATGCATCACTGTAAAAACTGTTGGAGAGCATTTTGATTGAGAAAAGAACAGATAGGAAATAGATAGTATGGTCTAACAGCGAGAGTCTAGACTTTTATTCGTTATAGTAGCCTCCACAGGTCTTGTCAGACAAAAAGGATAAAAAGAAGTCTTAACTAGGTTCCTCTTTTTATTGGACATATTTTTTATGTCTACTAGCTTCTGTAGGTTTGAATAAAAGGAACTTCAAGTCCACGTCTCGATGGTAGCAGCATAGGTACTGGTTGTGAAATGATATAGTTAACCATATACTTTTCACTCGGACATCTTCCTTAATTGTGGCTGGATTCACGGTTCTTGGTAATAATTCTTCATCTTTGTTGTTCCTTATCTTGTTCCAAAAGTTGAAGAAGCAAAAAATAAAAGAAATGACACACAGTCACACAGTAAAATTAGAGCCTTATTTCAATTTGGATTGCCATGACTTCTGTATAAAGTCTCATGTTCTTGACTTCCTGTGTTGTAAATATTCTTGAAATGGTACTTATAATATTTTTTGTTGAAGTGGTTCTTTTGTGAACATACTGGTTATGCTTATGCTTGCAGAGCTGCGTCTGTAGGAGGAGCTGCCAACGCTTTGCAAAGCTTGCCAAATGAAGCAGGATGGATACACCTTGGTTTCTGTATGTTTTTCCGCTGAAGCTTCTTGTAATTCTAGAAGAAAGCTCTCACTCATTTTCCTCAGTATCTTTGATTCTTTAACTAAAAGGACGTCATCTTACTTCATACTGTTATGTATCCTAGCTCAACATGTCTCACCTGCTGCTTGGAAGCTTCATTACTATCAATGGGCAATGCAAATATTTGAACAACATAACATGAGGGAGGCTGCCTGCCAGTTTGCTCTTGCTGCACTTGAGCAAGTTGACGAAGCTCTTGGATCTGGTATTCTTGATGAATCAGCGACTGCTGTCAAGGGAAGACTTTGGGCTAATGTCTTCAAGTTCACGTTAGATCTCAACTATTACTATGATGCATATTGCGCAATCATTTCAAATCCAGACGAAGAAAGCAAAACCATTTGTCTGAGGCGTTTTATAATTGTTCTATATGAACGAGGAGCTGTGAAGGTTCTGTATCCTTGGTCTTTTTTCTTTCCTGTTGCAGCCTTATATGACCATTCTATTTTACCTGTTGTCTTCCCTACTTTCTATATGTGTTTTCACTACATTCTTTCCATTTACCCTGTAAATAGTTACTGGATAACTTATGCTTGCTGTCTTCACTTTTCCTTTCATCCAGATTCTTTGCGATGGCCAGCTACCATTTATTGGCTTGTCTGAGAAGGTGGAGCGAGAACTTGCTTGGAAGGTTTGTAATCATTTCATGAACTATAAATGATTTAATACAGTACACGGTTTGCAGCTTCACAAGGCTCACGTTAAATCTGAAAAATTGTAGGCTGAGCGTTCAGATGTTTCAGCCAAGCCAAACCCATTCAAGTTGCTCTACGCATTTGCAATGCAGAGACATAGTTGGCGGAGAGCAGCGAGCTATATTTACTTGTATTCAGCACAATTAAGAATCCACGGTGCATTGAGAGATCCCCAACGGCGATCTTTTATTCTGCAGGAGAGGCTAAATGGGCTTTCTGCTGCTATCAATGCTCTGCAGCTGGTTCATCCTGCATATGCTTGGATTGATGCTCCACTTGAGGAAACTTGTTCTAATATGTATCCAAGTAAAAAGGCTAGGATAACCGTGGAAGAACAGTGTAAATTATACTTCAAGATTTATTTGATTTTTTCAAAATCATTTTCTTTTTTAAACTATCACTACATTCTTTTGTTTGGTTATGTCACATCCATTTTCTCCTTTTCCAGCTCCTGGTACTGGTGCTCAGTCTCAAAGGCAAAGGTCATACTTAGATGTTGAAAAACTTGAGAATGAGTTCATTCTAACGTCAGCTGAGTATTTGCTATCATTGGCAAATGTCAAGTGGACTTTTGCGAGTAAGTTTGATGCTAAGTTAACATGCCTTTCCCTTGTTTCTAAGTTCTAAATTAGCTGTGTTTGTGCTTAACTCAATATTTTCAAATTTGAAATTCTGGGTTTTGAGATACTCTCTGGTTTACACCTTGGTATTTTCATTTGTTTGCTACTGGCTATTATGTCATTTTGGATAACATATATCGAATTGAAAACTTTCCTTAGAATTGTGCTTCGAACAAAGAAGATTGTGTCACTCTTCAGCTTATGTGAAATGGAAGGTCTCAACTCAATGAGATTCAAAAATTAAGTTTCCCTTTGCTCCTTCTACTTTCCTTTAACAAATGCTTTTCTTCTTTCAGGAATTGAGGCACCCCCAACGGATGTAATTGACCTTTTGGTTGAATCAAACTTGTATGATATGGCTTTTACATTAATTCTTAAATTTTGGAAAGGGTCAGCTTTGAAGAGGTATGTTGTTTTGGGTAGCTCCAAGGGAAATTAGTAAGCCTCCGTGATTCCTAGGTTTCTTGACTTGCAATTCTTGTGCTGTCTCTCAGGGAACTTGAAAGAGTTTTTGCAGCTATGTCATTGAAATGCTGCCCAAAAGGACTGCAAGCCCCATCAGTTGGGTAAGATATTCTTGATTCTGCTTTTTATATGCATCATTTCTCATTCCCCTCGATGCAAGCTGTTTTTCTTAGCATGTTTCTACCATTAAATTTGTGATACCTATTACTCAGGAATGGTCAGAGGATGCACAGTCTTCTTTTGACTTCATCGCAGGATGAGATTGTTGTCCATGAATCGCCTAATGTTGGTCCAGCTGCACATGAATCTAAAGGCAGTAGCCAGTGGGAGACACTTGAGCTCTATCTTGTCCGTATCTTCCTTCTTTCATAACTAATTTTAACTGTTTAAAGCAAATATACCGTTCTTTCAATTTTTATCTCCATAACGTCAATGCAGGAAAAATACAAAAAGTTTCATGCTAAATTGCCTGTTGTTGTTGCTGATACTCTTCTTGCTGCTGATCCTCAAATTGAGTTGCCTCTTTGGTTGGTTCAAATGTTCAAGGTAACTACACCATCATTTAATTAATTGAGGGCCTAAGCCCAAATATTCAAGGTTGTATAAGTGTCATGGAAAAGAATTACACAAAAATTATTTATCAAGATAAAACAAAAAATATGTCAGACAAGAGTTGCTCATACCGTCTAGTCTCTGCATAGAGTGTGAAATGCTTATTCCGTTCTTTTCTTTGTTGATGTCTACTTCAGCCCTATCATCTGGAGGATGTAAAATTATTGACCTTGCAAAATATTTTGGATTTTCTCTTTGTGGTAAATTCAAGGAATTAGAAGATTTTTTTTGAGAATGGTAACAGTATATTTATCAGCATTAAGGAAAAGCTGGGCACCATATTTACAAAGTAGAATATAAGAAGTTTGAGAGCTGATCTACTAAAAGTTCGAGGAGAGTGGTTCTGGTTAAGGCCACCACTGTTGAGCATTTGCGCTTACTTTATGACCATATTTATANCTGGATTCCTTGGTTCGGGCCAATCAAATCTTTTTACCTTAGTTTCTAGAAAGAAAAGAATTTGGAGAAATCTTAGGTCTCACCGAATCACACATAGAGATATTGATAACACACATAAAGCTAATGGTATTTCATAACTAATTGATTGAGCAGCTGCCCGTAGACCACCCCTCATCATATTATGTTTACGATTCAACATGCCAACTGATAAACAACTTATTAGAAATACAAGACAGCATCATACGACATCACAGAGAATGAAACAGCATAAGAAACTTGGTTTGAATGGGTGGAGAGAAGAAACCATCTGCTTAGAAGAATGACCTTAAGTGGGAAGGCACTTTCATGGGTTAGTGAAGTGCCGCAGAAAGCGTCAAGGAGAAGGGGAAACACGTACAACAGATGGAATATCAGAGACAATACCACCACCTTTTATTGCACACAAAAATACAACGTATATGGCAGATTTATCAGCCTTATAGCAGTGCATGGAACTAACCGATCAGTCATTATTATCCCAGAAAAGGCCTTTAATGTGGGACGGGGAGAGCTAGCTATTAAAATAAAGAATTTCATGAATAGAAGAGCAGTTATTACAGATCCACCGTTGCCTTTATTACATAACACCTATGCTCATACAACTCGTGAATGCAAATGGTCCAAAATGAATGGGGCCCAGATGATCAATCAAACTGAGGAGGGCATTATTAAAATACAGGGGACAAAAATCTCGGATGATAAACTCTTGAGCAGGTGTGGTTGGTAGATTCTCCAAGGAACTTGATGAAATTCCCACTAGAAACGAAGTCCGAAAATGGATCAGCAACAAGTGGAGCAATGCTATTGGGGTATACGAATTGAATGGATGTCAGTTCCTGTTCGAGTTTCCAACCAGATGAATGGCGGAACAAGTATTAGAAGGCACGTGGAGATGGGGGAAAGCAAAATTGAATCTGAAATGGTGGACTCCAACGACGGCTTGTGTTCCAGCAGAAATTAAGCCTGCTTGGGTTTGGGTCAGAATACTCGGCCTTCCTCTACATCTCTGGTCTGCTGACACCATGAAAGCCATTGGTGACAAATGCGGAGGTTGGATTGAGACAGAACAGGAAACAAAACTAAAAAACCACCTCCGTTGGGCTCGTATCAAAGTCAAAGGGCCACCGACAATTAATCAGAAGGAAGTGGAGGTGGAGAACGACGGCTTAATCTTCCAATTGCTACTATGGAGTGAACATCCGGTGGCAGTTAAAACCCAGCGGATATCGATGAATGATATTGATGGAACAAAGACCATAAAAGGCCAGCCTAGGTCTGCTGTAGCTGGGACTGACAGGGCAGAGCACATGGAGGCCAAAAAGTCTCCTATAATTCAAAAAAGGGACAACTGTATCACACCATCTGTTGAAGTGGGGCAAACTTCTGGGCTTGGAGGAAATAAGGAAAAGGAGAGCAAACTATTGGGCCTCCCTCAAGGGGCCCAAATTTTAAAAGAAGTTGATAGCCTAGTAGGTCTTGATATTATTTCACTTGCTTCTGTGGAAGACCCAAAATGTTTTGATAACATTTTATATGCATCTGACGAAGGCCCATCTCCAGCTGGACTAAGACACGATCCAGTGGGTCTTGAAATTGAAGCGAACTCATCGCCTTTATCAATCTGTTCGATGACTTCAAAGGCTTCAAAGGTAACGCCTGCTGAATACGTATCCAAGGGGGAAAACTCATCAACACCTGTCCAAATTCAGAGCTCTATGCATGAGACACAACACGATGATTATGTTACTAACCAGGAAGAGGAATTATGTTTGGAGAATCAACTGGTATAAGTACAAAATCAATAACAGCCTCTACTGTATGATGGCACACAATGTTGGGAGGGAGAAGAGGTCATACCTCTAGACATACAAAATCAGATGGTAGAAGAAGACACATCCTTATGGGTACATAAGAATGTTATCAAGATGAGCAAACAATATGGGGTTGATTTCCAAGGCTGCGAATGGGAGGCTCTCTCTCTATTTATGAAAACTGACAAAAGAAGACTGCAGAACAGAGGAGAGGAGGCACTTACAATCTGTGATACACCAAAGCCAAAAATCAATAGAGAAGTTAAGAACGTAGAAATTGGGATGAAGTTCAAGGAGAGTGGATCGAGTAGCAGGGGGAAAACAACATCACTGTTATCCAATGAAGGTCAAAATTATATCGTGGAATGTTAGGGGATTGAATAAGAGGAGAAAAAGAAGGGTTGTGAAAGCACTTGTTCATAAATGGAATGTTGATGTCTATTGCTTACAAGAGACAAAGCTGGAAGGGGACACGACGAGGGAAGTTAAACAATTATGGGGGAGAAGATGGATCGATTGGGCTTGTCTAGAGTCTAACGGGAGAAGTGGGGGGATTTTACTACTGAGGGACAAAAGGGTTTGGGAAGGTTATGTAGAAGGTTACGGGACACAGAGCATATCTTGCAAACTATCCTCTGTTTTTCAAGACTTTACATGGTTTATCACAGGGGTGTACAGATCAAATAGCAGAAAAGAAAGGCAAGATCTTTGGTGGGAATTAGCAGCTTTCAGGGGGATTTGCGAGGGTCCATGGGTGGTTTGTGGTGATTTTAACACCACCAGATACACACAAGAAATGAGAAGTAGGGGGTGATACAATAGTGCTATGCATGAGTTCTCAGACTTGATAGGGGAACTGGAACTATCCTCTGTTTTTCAAGACTTTACATGGTTTATCACAGGGGTGTACGGATCAAATAGCAGAAAAGAAAGGCAAGATCTTTGGTGGGAATTAGTAGCTTTCAGGGGGATTTGCAAGGGTCCATGGATGGTTTGTGGCGATTTTAACACCACCAGATACACACAAGAAAGGAGAAGTAGGGGGAGATACAATAGTGCTATGCATGAGTTCTCAGACTTGATAGGGGAACTGGAACTGATTGATCTTGGCAAAATACATAAGTTGCCACCTGACCTATGGCCCAAATTCCCCTATACACACTTTTTGCGAACAAAAATTACTTTACATACGCAACCTTTCTAAAGTGTCTAAGACACACTACTTTTGTCAGATGGGGCGCGCATGTTTAACAAATAAAAGTGAGCGCGTCAGATCTATACGTGTTTTGTCAACATGGCCATCTGCAACTTTATTCGAACGGCTCAGATTTAATAAAGTTGATCTGATGGCCTACATAATTCTTTTCTTTTTATCCTTTTTCTTTTTACCAAAAAATGTCTCTCTAGCCTTCATTTTCTTTTCTCAAGGTACTGTTCAATCAAGTTTTCTAAGTTTTTTCTTTTTCTTTTTTCTTTTCCCTTTATAATGAGAGGAGCGGGTGACCGGAATAAAGGGCCAAATAAGTTTGACTATATTGGAGGTACTATCATCTTTTACTTTTTCTTTTCCTCCGGCAAAGAGCTAGCATTTTTGTGCATTTTAAACTTGAAATAGAATCTAAAGTTGCAGATTTTGATTTTGATTTTGGTAAATAGAAATTTCAAAATTTGATAAGTTTGGGTGCTTCAATAGTATGGATATGAAGATGCTTGATTCATGTTAATATTTTGTTCTGGTGGGAATTTGCCATGGCTGTTGGAGTTTAGAGGAGGAGGTCGACGGGTATGGGGGGTCAGAAGAAGATGAGAAACGTGAGGGGGGGGGCTTTGTTTCTTTTTTGTTTGTTTTCTTTTAAATATTATCAATTGGTGTAAATTTAGTAATTTTTTTTTTCTTGAGTTAGGACACGTGTCACGACCTTATTGGCGCGTGACCTTACATATATTTTGAAAAGCTGGTCAAGAAAAAAATGGTGTGTACTAGACACTTTAGAAATATTGCGTGTGTAAAGTAATTTTTGTTCGCAAAAAGTGTGTAAGGGGAATTTGGGCCATAGGTCAGGTGGCAACTTATGTATTTTGCCATTGATCTTCCACTGTCCGGAGGTATTTATACATGGTATAAAGAAAATAATCATATTGCAGCGTCAAGAATAGACAAATTCTTGATATCGACTGAATGGGATGAAGAATTTAGCAACATCAAGCGGTCCTTATTGCCTAGGCTAGACTCTGATCATCTACCTGTCCTGCTGCAATGTGGAGAATGGGAGAAGAAAAAATCTTACTTCAAATTCGAAAACTGGTTGCCGGAAGTACAAGGTTTCTCTGAGATGATTAATGGGTGGTGAAGCTCTTTTGATGTCACAGGTGCACCAGACTACATTTTAGCAGTTAAGCTAAAAATATTGAAAGGGAAACTAAAAGAGTGGAATCTTAACAACTATGGTAGTTTGGAGAACCGGAAAACAGAAAATTTGAATGAAGTTCAAAACCTAGACAGGTTATAGGAGCAGAGGAACTTGATTGAAGATGAACTTGTTCTCAAGACAAGCTTAGAGATGGAATTTGAGGAGATGTCAAAGTTTGAGGAGATTGCTTGGAGGCGAAGGTCCAGAATACTATGGCTAAAAGAGGGAGATAGGAACACAAGATTCTTCCACAGAATGGCAAATTCACATAAGAGAGCCAACAACTTGGACAAACTTGAGATTAATGGCGAGCAGGTTTCTGACCCTGAGGTCATCAAAGATGAAATTCTGCAGTATTACACCAGCCTCTACACTGAAACTGAGACATGGAGACCAGATTTCAACTATCTTGAAAGCCCAAAATTGACTGTTGCGGAGGCTATATGTTTACAAAGACCTTTTGAGGAAGAGGAAGTTCTGGCTGCTTTTAGAATTTGTGCCTCTGACAAGGCACCAGGCCCTTATGGCTACTCTATGGGATTCTTTCAGAAATGCTGGGCAGTAGTGAAGGAAGACATCATGAAAACTATTGAGAATTTTCATTCAAAGGAATTCTTTGAAAAAAGCATTAATGCAACTTACATTGCACTAATTCCAAAGAAGAAAGGAGCCAAGGAACTGAGGGACTTCAAACCTATCAGCCTAATTGGGAGTGTGTACAAAATTATTTCTAAGATGTTAACAGAAAGGCTCAAGTCTGTAATGATCAAGCTAGTGGATGAACAACAAATGATATTTATCAAGGGAAGACAAATTGTAGATGCAGCTCTAATAGCAAATGAATGTGTGGATTCTAGACAGAAGGGGCAAAAACCTGGAATCCTATCTAAACTTGATTTAGAGAAGGCTTTTGATCATGTTAATTGGAACTTTCTGATCAAAATAACGAAGGACATGGGATTTGGGAGCAAATGGCTGAAATGGATATTGTTCTGCATTAGCTCTGTCAGGTTCTCTATTTTGATTAATGGCTCACCTGAAGATTTCTTTCCCTTAAAGAGAGGCCTTAGGCAAGGTGATCCTCTCTCCCCCTTTTTGTTTATCTTAGTCATGGAAGGTCTAAATTGTATGATAAAAAGGGCAAAGACAAATGGTTGGATTAAGGGATTCAAGGTATCCAACAAACCTGACTGTGCGATGGATATTTCCCATTTGCTATACGCAGATGACGCTTTGATTTTGTGTGACGCTAAGGTTGATCAACTGAGGCACATCAGACTGATCTTAATTGTGTTTGAAGCAATTTCTGGGCTCCATGTCAATTGGACGAAAATTCAGCTTTTCCCCATTAATGTGGTGCCTCATATGCACATATTAGCCGGAACTCTGGCTTGTGAAATTGGCAGCCTGCCAACTACCTACCTGGGTATGACTTTGGGGGCTAAAAATAAAGCATTGGAGATATGGGATAGGGTAATTGAAAGAAGTGAAAAGAGATTGGCCAAGTGGAAAACTCAATATCTTTCGCTTGGTGGCAGAGTGGTGCTAGTAAACAGTGTGTTAGACTCTATACCAACATATGTGATGTCTCTGTTCCCTTTACCAGCTAAGGTGGAAAAGAGAATGAATACTATCAGAAGAAATTTTATCTGGCAAGGTAACAAGGAAACAAAAGCTTTTCACCTAGTGAAGTGGAAGAATGTCATCTCAAGCAAAGTTAATGGTGGCTTGGGTATCAGAAATCTGAGACTACATAATAGAAGCTTACTATTTAAGTGGCTCTGGAGATACAACCATGAGCAGCAGGCNACAGGCTTTGTGGAGAAAAGTAATAGAAGCCAAATATGGTCAAGACTCCCAATGGTGCACTAAGAGAGTTACTTCCTCCTATGGGGTTAGTAACTGGAAGGCAATTAGGAATCTGTGGCCTAGTTTCTTCTAGAACACTGAAGTCAAGCTAGGAAACGGTAGGAAGGCTGCTTTTTGGGATGACAACTGGATAGGACATGGTCCTCTAAAAGACCAATATCCTGATCTATATTTGTTAGCTTCAAATCCTCATGCCAAGGTGGAAGAAATAAGGGGACAACAGGGCTGTAATTTAAACTTTCGAAGACTGCTGAATGATTGGGAAGTGGATAGAGTTGCTACATTGATAAACCAAATTGACCAACTGCAAGGCCTCTCAGATTGCGAGGACTCTTTGGTATGGAAGGGGTCAAGAACCAGATATTTCTCGGTGAGCTCTGCTTACAAAAGCCTAATGGGCAACGCTCATTCTGATAGGAGTTGGCCTTGGAAACAAATTTGGAAGGTAAATGCATCCACAAAGGTGCTGTGCTTTGTATGGTTGGTGGCCAGAAAAGTTTGCTTGACTGATGAAAAACTTAAGAGAAGGGGATATCAACTGACCTCCAGATGCTATCTCTGTGGAAGGGAAGCAGAAGACAACTCCCACCTGTTTCTTCACTGTGTTGTTACCTCTCAACTGTGGCACATGTTTCTAAGTATTGTCAGAATGAACTAGGTCATGCCAAAAGATACATCCGACCTCTTGAGATGCTGGGCTGGTGTGACAAGTGGAGTCAGACAGAAGAAATGGTGGCAGAAGATCCCAGCCTGCATTTGGTGGTCAGTCTGGAACGAGAGGAACTCCAGATGTTTTGAGAATGTTAGCAACTCCATTCAGAAAATCAAAATGAACTGTTTAGTACTCTTTCTTTTTTGGTGTAAAGAATGCCCTGTAAATGATTGTGACTCCATACTTGATATCATAGAATCCTTGTAAGCTTTTTGTAGTGGGGGGATTATTTTACTTTTTTGGGGATGTATTCTGTCACTTTTAGCAGCACAAACTTTGTGTTGTTTTATATTTATAAAATGTTATCATTCTCAAAAAGAAATACAAGACAACCAATCAGAAATATCACGAAATCCTCCGCTCTTCGGGGTGCCCTTAGCGTCGAGGAACATGTACTAGGGTGTATGCACGATCTTTTAGATCATGAGCTGGCACAAAAGCAAGAAAATGACCTACCACTATTGCTATTATTTTCATTAATAAGCTAGAGAAATTAATGAGAGATTTCTTTGGGATGGGATGGATAGAGGAAAAAAAGAATATCTGATTAGTTGAGAAAGATCACTGCTCCGGTCAAACTAGACAGTTGGTTATACAAAGGTTTGTACCTATAATTGAGCTTTTCCAAAAGGAGGTATCAGGGTTTGCGTGGGAGGAAAACTCATTAAGGAAGATTTTGTATGGATGCTATGTATGGGATGATTTTGTAAAAAGGGATCATCAAGAATCAAGTTTAACTCCTCAAGGTTCATTGGCTTCTCAATAAGGAACGTTAAAACTTGTACAGTTTTGGCTTGATGTCAGTGTTTTGGAGAGCGAGAAGCGGAAAAAAGCGAGGAGGCCTCGCTTCACCGAAGCGAGAAGCGCGAAGCGAAGCGCGCGCTTTTTTCATGTGAAGCGCAATTTAACACATAAATAAAAAAAATTAAATAGGCATAGATAAATGACCAAGAACTCAATAAAAATAACATATTAAGCAAATGTTTCAATTCTTAAATCAAGAAATAAATAATAGATACTAAAACTAGATAGTCAATAATCCTCAAAAAGTCATAACATATTAAGCAAATGCAAAACAAAACAAAATCACAAGCTGGATCTCTTTTTTGGCTTGATGCCATTGAATAATAAGATTGAATTTACTACAATCAACAACCAAAAAAAAAAAAAAANCCAAAAAAAAAAAAAAACAAAAAAAAAAACAGAACAGTTAAACAATGAACAGAGAATAACAGCAGAAATTTGGAAAAAACAGAGCACAAGCATAAATTAGAAAACAGGGCTGAACAGAGAAATGAGTTCTGAAAAAAATAAAAAAGAAGAAGAGAACAGAGTAGAGGAGTCGAACCAGTGAACAGTGAAGAACAGAAAAAAAAAAAAACAGAGTACACAGAAAAACAGAGCATAAATTAGGGCAGAACAGAGCAATAAAAACTGAAAAAAATAGAAAGAAGAAGAGAAAAAGGAGTCGAACAGTGAACAAGCAGAGAAAATCAGAAAAGGAAGAGAAGAGAAGAAAGAACTGAAGAAGAAGAGAAGAAGAGAAACTTACTCGAACAGTGTAGTCGTCGCTTGCAGCAGAGAAGCAGATGTCTGGAAGTATTGTGCGTAAGTGTATTTGCAAGTTTTTAAAAAAAAAACCCTAGCAGATGGCTGGACCTCGCTTAAGCGAGCTTTTCTGCGCTTTTTTTATCGCCTTGCTTCTCGCTTTTTAGGGTAAAGCGTACGCTTATTCATGTGAGTCGCGCTTTAGGGCAAAAAAGCGCAGGTCAGTCGCCTCGCCTCGCTTCTGCGCTTTAAGCGAGAAGTGTGCGCTTTTAATGTGGGGAGGCCACCTTGAAAGATGACTTTCCTCATCTGTTTTCTATTTTAATGAAAAAATATAGCAGCGCATGAAGTACTTAAAAGAGAGATCAAATTTCATTGAATGTGTCATTCAGAAAACAATTTCGCGAGTGGGAATATGAGTAAAAGAACATGAAATTTCTTGACATGTTCCATTCAGAAAGCACTTTCAACACTTTCAAGATTGGGAGTATGAGGAGGTGGAAGTATCACTTATGGCTTAATGGATCCAAGCAGTTGGGGAAGCTGTTAATACAGAAAGGCTCTTCTAAAATTTATTCAGTTATATCCTATTACAATTACTTAGTAAAAGGAAGAAGGCACTTAATAAGGCATCTTGTTTTCCGATGCCTAAGTTTGCTATGTTGGCAGCAAACTAAGAAGGAGAAGACTCGCTGTTGTTAGTTTTGTGTAGCAGAAAATTTTGCAGTTACTATTGCTTTTGATGCATTCTTAGCAGCAGGATTTGGAATTGGCTTTAATTTGCTCAGTAATTTGATGTAATATGTGTTGTTATCTTCTAGATTTCTTCAATGTCAAGTCGAGGTTGTGATATTTTTTTTATCATTCTATGTTTGACATAGGGTGTGCCAGCAAAAAGTGGTTGGGGAATGGCGGGAAGTGAGTCAAATCCTGCTTCTTTGCTTCGACTATATATTGATTATGGTCGTTATACTGAAGCGACTAATCTGCTTCTCGAGTACATTGAATCCTTTGCATCACTGGTAAGTTCTCATCCTTATTCCAAAGCATTTGAATGTCAATGGCTGCTGTTAGGGGTTTTTATTCTGTCTTCTGGGAAATTTGTCTACTGTTTCAGTCAAGCCATCTGCTTAGGTTCGATATAAAACTGTAGCACTTTTGGACATTTGTTGTACTTAGTGATGACGGTGAAGAACATTGTGCTGGTATCATCTCTCTGAGAGGACTTCTCTGTCCTAATGGTTTCTGTTATTTATACGGTAGTACAGTCCAGAGGATAAGATAGGGTTCCCATCTTAGGGCTTTATTCAACCACCCATTCTGTATATTGTCTATCCGCATTCTTGTGTACATAATATCCAAATTATCAAATGCAGTTAGTGGATAAATTTAACTGAAGTTTTAACATGTACAGATCTGTAGATCTCCTAATGTTGATACTTCTCGTGTCATGGATCTTGGGTCGCACTTTATGACATTTCAACTATAAAAATAATCCAGACATTTGTCGTGTACCTATTATGGAAAGCGTTTGGACTCTGTCTCTTTTGCTTTCTTCCGAATGGCATAATTGTCCGACACTACGTTCCTCAATCTTCAAAGGGTCATGATGTAGTGGGATCGTTTGGATTGTTACAACCTCTAGCAGATGGTTTGAAATTGATTCTAAAAGAACCTATTTCACCAAGTAGTTGTAATTTCTCCCTTTTTAGAATGGCTCCAGTGGCTACATTTATGTTAAGTTAAGTGGGCTTATTCTATTTCTGAAGTTAGACTTCCTGCCTTGACCTAGGCCTCACATCGATTGTTCTGTCCGGCTCCACACCAGATTTTATCTGGGATGAAGGACATTCTGATCGACCCGATTGGCTCTCGTTCTGGTTTGGCGGAAAGGTGAAAAGCTCAGTCTTTTTGGTTCTTGAGAATGGTCGCAGTCTAACCAGCTTTCTAACTTTAGGGGGGCTTGAACCTTTGGGTAGACTCTGCAGTCCTCACTGACCTCAGCGATTTCGATCGCGTCCAAAAGTTGAGGATGCAACTTTACAGTCCCAGTAGCTTCTCTTTAAGCTTCTTAACCGCGTGGGGCCTTTGGAGAAGCAAGTAATCCATTTCTATTTAATTGCCCTTATTCCGAAAGTCTAAAGTCCTTCCAATTTTCACCAATTCCGACCTACCTTTATTTATGGGATATTTGAAGGAGAGCATAATACCTGTTTCTCAACCACCCGCTTACTACAAGAATGTATCATGATGAGAATCAAAGCAGTCTTGTGAATGCCCTTCCCTTTATCATACTTCAGGAGGAAGAAATGGTGAATTGAGGTAGGAGGAAAAAGCTGCTGAGTAAATGACAACATCCAAAGTTTTGTCCGAGTACAACGAGAACACGATAGATAAGTGTTGGGGAAATGATTCATATGGTTGATTTCTTGGAGATTCTGGTTTACTTCATAGATCAAACCGAATGCAGATAATATTAGAAAATAAGTACTTACTAGGGAGTTGTATGATGGTCGACATTGACTCGATCTCATGATATCGAGTCAATCTCGACCATCATACAACTCCCTAATAGTACTTATCTTCTCACATTATCTGCATTCTGTTTGATCTATGAAGTAAACCAGGATCTCTATGAAATCTGCCAGTTCCATTTACATTATGCAATTTCCAACTTATCTCCCATCATAACTTACTCTGCTATCCTGTCTGTTAGGTTCATGCTTGTGCTAGACTTTTCCCATCTTCAATTAATACTTGTTTACTTTTTTGCTGCTACAAATCTTCATCTGTGGCAGGCTAGCATGGAAATAGAAGGATACTGATACTTCATATTTGCTCTGGCCATTGCCTAATAGCCTGTTTGGCCAAGCTGCAAAAATCAGCTTATTTGAGAAGTGCTTTTTCTCAAAATTTGGCTAATTAATTTGAAAAGCACTTCTGAGCAGCAATTAGTGTTTGGCCAAGCTTTTAAAAACTGCTTCTAAGTGTATTTTTCTCAAAAGTGCTTTTCAAAAAAGTGCTTTTGGAGAGAAGCTATTTTTTTCTGCTTCTCCAAAATTCCTTCTGCTTCTACTCAAAAGCATTTTTCTTTTCTTTTAAAAGCTTGGCCAAACACTTCAACTTTGAAAAACAAAAGCACTTTTTTTGAAAATAAGATGCTTTTGGTTTTGAAAAAGCTTGGCCAAACACTTCAACTTTGAAAAACAAAAGCACTTTTTTTGAAAATAAGATGCTTTTGGTTTTGAAAAAGCTTGGCCAAACACTTCAACTTTGAAAAACAAAAGCACTTTTTTTGAAAATAAGATGCTTTTGGTTTTGAAAAAGCTTGGCCAAACAGGCTATAAGTTGTGGTGTGTGATGCCAATGAATCTTATATCATCACAAAAGTCTTGGACACTTATCACAAACCTCCATCCCTCACCTCCAAATGAAAATGAAAAAACCCTATTGGTACCATATGGAGGACATTTTGAATCTTATTGTCCAGCTGATATCATGTTTGTGTACTTGTGGCCTGTATCGACAACTTTGTCATGGCACTCTTTTGTGCTTTACATCATTTTATTATTTATTCTGCTATCATGCTTCATTCCTACAGGTCTTTAGTAGCTATTCAATGTTTTTCAAAGTAGTCCAGTTTTTTGGTGCCCGTTTTTGGTTTTCTGTTTTATTTCTTGACATCTCTATTAGCCTTTTAATCAGATACAAGTATAACACAAGTGTTTGATGCATTATTTACTGATTGCAAGATCAACCAATTTTATTCTTGGCTATGTGCACATTTCTTAACAGCACTATCTGTTGCCATTACCTGCAGAGACCAGCTGATATTATTCGTCGTAAAAGGCCATTTGCAGTTTGGTTCCCATATTCTTTGATTGAGCGTTTATGGTGTCAACTTCAACAATCTATCAAATTAGGCCACATGGTTGATCAAAGTGAAAAGCTGAAAAAGTTGTTACAGGGTGCTCTAGTGAACCATCTACATCAAGTATGCTTTACTCTTAAAACTAGCTTTTTGAGATTGAATCTCCTTTCACTGCTTCGATTAATTTCCCTTTTGTTTCTTATCCTCAGCTTAAAGTGGATTCAGATGATGTGATGTCTTCTGCAGTCTAGTCGTTACTGCCAGTTCTCCAATCTGTTGGCTTCCATAGACTAGGCAGGATTAAGGAGCCATCGCTATCCCAAAAAAAGCAGGATGATGGTGTCTATAGTTTTGGATTTGGGTGGCACACAAACTTTTTAAGAAATCGAAGACAGTAGTTTGTTTTCCAAGTACTACTGACCTCTCCCGGCTCCTCCATCTGCAGAAATGTACTGTTCACATTGGAAGGTGTGTTTTGAAATACAAGGCACCACCTCTAGAACACTTTCCAACCCTCCCCTAAACCATGGGATAACAGGAAAAAAATGCGTATGCACTCTTATCTGGAATATCCCCTAGTTGATAATGAGTTATGGGGGATGTTTTTCTTGTTGTAACTCTAACATGGGTAGGTATGTAAATTCCAACTTGGGGCAGCTGATCGGCCACTTATAGCCAAGTCAATGAATGTATCAGGTGTAATTTTGTAGATTTAACTTGGAAAGATCTAATGTATTGTTCAAGTGCTTGAGTTTCTTTTTTATATAATGATTTATTTCCTAGTTTACTTAGCTCCACCAGCTAGCAAAATTTATGCGGTTTAAATTCTGTCCTCCGGAACATTGTGTTGTCTCCTTTGGTACAGTAAAGATATGCGATCAAATTGCGTTTGTTAAACAACATTCAATCGGTTTTGCATCTTTTAAGTAGGAGTAAACCGAAAACCAAACCAAATCGACCAAAAAAATTGATACTTTTTTGGTTTGGTTTGGTTTTGGTTTTGAATTTTAAAAACCGATCAAATTTGGTTTGGTTTTGGTTTTAATCAAAAAGTAACCAGAAAAAAAATCGAATCAAACTGACTATAGAAGTAGCTATTTATAATTTATTATTTCACCTAACTATATGTATATTTTTATACAAAGTTTCTAAAATTTTATGGTACATATTAATCGTTTGCACTTTTAGTCTACATGTTATATTTTTATACAAAGTTTCTAAAATTTTATGGTTTGACAGTGTTACATTAAAAATGTAGCCGTCGGAATATGTGTTTGGTAATGTATGTCTCGTATATTTAAGAAAAAATTGATAAATAACCGAAAAAATCTAAAATCTGACATAAACCGAATCGATAAAAAATCGACTTAATTGATTTGGTTTGATTTCAATATTTGAAAAATCGACTTACTTGATTTGGTTTAAAAATCGATCCAAACCGAACCACAAACAGCCCTGCTTTTAAGCATTAGAGTTTTCAGATTGTTGAAAATAATGAAAAAAATTCAAGTGCAAGTCCCAACAGCTCTTTCATTATCCTGTATTTTGTATAAGATCAAATATTTTACTATGCTTGAATGTTTGTGAGTTGTGGAAAAGTCCATTAATGGTGGCATAATTCAACTTCTAGAAGTATATTCAATGCAAAGTCAATGAACGAAATCTTTAATCCCTTCGCAGCTTTTTACACCATATTTAAATATCTATCAAAACTTTCTGCCCCGCGGAGTAATTAACTTATTACGGTTTATTAAGTAAGAATCCCTGTCAAGATAAACATGAGGTATTATAAAAGGTTGGGAAAAAGTGACCAAATGAAATAAGTTTGGGAAAAAATATTTAATCTCTTAGCTCCTATGGATGCCAAATCTTAAAAGTTAAAATGCCAGACTAATATGAACGCACACACTAATTCTAGTTGGTCGCATTTTTACTAATAAGATTATTTTATTTGATCAACGCCATAAATCTATTATTACTATATAATTTGGTATAGCAATTACCATATAAAATTATCTGAAATTGGGCAAATTCAATTATGAGTCACTTCTCCATCCATGAACTAACCTATTTCTGTTATAACCGTGGTGTCCAGGTCAACTTGCACATATTTTAACTAATTTCACGGATTATTTGCTCCCTATCTATCAATAGGGGTGGGCGTTCGTGCAGTTCGGATTTCATTTAAAAATTTCGGTTTAGATTTTCAGTTTTCGGATTGAAGAAATGACAATCCAAATCCAATCCAAATAAGTTCGGATTGGATCAGATTTTTTAAGTTCGGTTTCAGATTAATCAGTTTGGATATTTTGAATTTTCGATTTTGAGCTTATAAGTTGAGATGTTTCTTCTTTTTATAAAAATGAATATTCAAATGAAGTAGTCATATTAAATTGTCTGAAAAGTTCCTCATTCTCACCGCAATCATCCAAAAAACGTATTAAAGTAATGAAATTATTATCAAAAAAATATAATAGAGACATTAATACGACCGATAAGAAGTAGAAATAGTAAAACCATATCCAAATAGAAAGTATTCTCATAGTAACTTAGTAATTAATATTGAATATATGAGATAATATCTAATGGGTAGGGTATTGAACTTATTACTATTGACATATGGATAATGGACTAAATATAAAGTATAAGAATTTCGAATTTTCGGATATCCAAAAATTCGAAGAACCAAATCCAATATCCCATCCGAAATCCAAAAATTTTAAAAATTAAATTCAAAATCCAATCCGAAATCCGAAAATCCAAACTAAAAATTCAAAAAATTCGAATTTTTGTTTGGATTTCGGGTTTGCTCAAACTATGCCCATCCCTGTCTATCAAGGCTTGAACAAAGAAGAAATTTCAGGTTCTCAAACCATTTCATTGACCACTGGACCACACTCTTGGATAAACAAACCTATATTGACAAAAAAAAAGTGTAGGCCACTAATGATGCAAAATTGAGTTGATTTGTCTATAGCATATGCCCATTTATATGCCATTCAAAAAAGAAGCACTATCCCAAAAATAAAATACCAAGCAATCAATTTGGAAGTCGCATTCACAACATGATCAAGTTTGGTTAACCAAAAGAAACTTCTCTAATTCACTTTTATGTTCTCATTTTCCTTCCAAACTCAGTTCCCAAGCATAAAGAAACTACTTATTACTATTCCTTTAAAACTCTTATGTATTTTGATTGAATTAGATCGTGTTTCTAAGCTATTAATTAATTCTAAACTATCTTGTGTACCAAGCTATTTGAAGATCGAACTTCTTGCATTATTTTTTTCATTGTCCCTATACTTATAGCCTATTTAGCCAAGCTGAAAAAATCTGCTTATTTTGATAAGTGCTTTTTTCAAAAAATGCTTTTCGAAAAAGTACTTTGGGAGAGAAGCCGTTTGTGTTTGGCTAATCAATCTGAAAAACACTTTTGAACAATAATTTGTGTTTTGCCAAGCTTTTCAAAAATTGCTTTTAAGTATCAAATTACGAATAAGGACATGATTAGATTTACTTAAGAGTTAATATTATATGAATAAATAAAAAATTTCAAATATTTATTATTAAAGATAATAATTAAGTTTTTTTTTTTTAAGTAAAACATGAAAATAAATTTAAAAAGTACTTTAATTCTTTCAAGATAATTTAATTATATCAAAAAATTATTTAACAAATATAAAAACATTCATCTCAAAAGTCACCATATATTAGAAATCTATCCTAAAAATAAAAAGAAATATTTATACATTAGGAAAGTTCAATAATATAATCTCTAATTCTAATTAGTATTAGGTTTAAAATAAGTAAGATTATTTTGACATATACCATATTTTGCTAAGAGTATTTTTGGTAAGAAGAATAGTCAAAACTACTTCTGCTTCTGGGGAGAAGCTACTTTTTTCTGCTTCTCTAAAACTGTTTCTATTTCTTCCCAAAAATACTTTTTTTCCCAAAAAAACTTGGCCAAACACCTCAAGTTGAGAAAAAGTGCTTTTTGAGGATAAAAATACTTTTGGTGTGGGGAGAAGCTTGGCCAAATAGGCTATTATTCTCACACTTTCCATCCATAATTGTCAAAATATTTAAAACACGAAATGTAATTCAATTTTTTACTACTATTTATTATCCTTATAATTACACTACTTACTTTAAGAGATAAAATCAATACCTTCATTAGCAAGGAATAAGTCGTCATCCTTTATTTGAAAAATATTTCAGATTTTAAAATCTTGACAAAACCATAAAAGGAAGGAAAAAAAGGAAGAAAAATAGTCGAAGGCAAGTTAGGGAAATTCTTCACGGAACGACAATATTCAAAAAAATAAAATAAAAGGAAACCAATTTATTGACGAAAAAGGAAAAGCAGCAGAAGAAAAAAGCAAAATTAGAAAACCAAGAAAGCGCCTGGGAAAGCACTACACCTTACACATTACCAACTACACTGAATATTCTCTAATTAGTGGTACTCGCCGGGAAACTTCTTCTTTTCCGGTCACCGGTAATTTTTCTTGAAAACCCTTTTACTGTTTTTATGTGGTTATGGGTTCACTTTGATCATCTTCTGACTACTGCTAAAGCTTTGATCTTTTGGTTTCTGCTCATTTACATGGTGAAAATTAGAACTATAAATTATAAGAAAACAATGATAAAACCTACAACAGCAGCTTATAAAAGCATGATTTTTTTGTTTGTGGGTTATGGTTACAATGTATTCTTTAGATAGAAAGTGGGGTTTCATATACTTTCCTTATTGTAGATTTATCAACAAAAAAAAAAATTGCTTTATTTTGGAAAATTTCTTTTTCTTGGTATGTTTTGTTTGAACTTTGATGAGTACAGTGGAGCTCAGGAATTATATATTGTTCAAGTGTTAAGCCTTAGTTTAAACCCCACCTGGTTTAAGTGTTCAGCAATTTGAAGTATCATTTGTTTGTAGTTTCAGTTCTAGAGTTCAATTTGATGAGCATTGAGCTTGTTCAAATGGGAGAAATGTTGTTGTGTTTTGCCTTCTGTTTCCAATTTTTCTTTGTTGATCGATCTTTCCGCTTACATGCATGCCTTTGGTGGTATTACTTCTTTATGTACTCAGGACCAAGAATGGTACTAGTTTTTGTTGGAACTACATATGCAAAAACTACTAATATCTAAAAGAAATTCCTTTTGTTTTTTGATTTTTTTAAATTATTATCATATTGGGGGTTAGGGAGGAGGGAGGTGGAGAATAAAATACGGCAATATGAACCTTCACCGACATGGTAAAAGGTGCGTAAACTCATCAAGTAAACTATACCCTAATCCCCCTTGACGGAATTCCTTCACTTGGTGTAAGTGAAGCATGTAGCTGGACATTAACAGCATAGTATTCAATTATATCAATGGAAAATTCCCTAGCTCATTGGCTGACTAGCTTATTACCTCGTGTCAAACTGAAAATGAGTTCCGTCGCAATTTTAACTTTAATTTTCTGCCTGTAAAATTCTTTGTTGGATCAGTTGTTTAAACTATAGACACATTACTTAGACAGTTTGACTGTTGCAAGCTGTTGTTACCCGAAGATTTGCTGCAAAGAGAACTTTCTACTAGATGGTGTAACATAATCTGACAGTTCAAAATGACGTCTTGCTCCTAATATCTGAGCTGCAAGCTTTAACTTGAACGTTATTGAGCTACCTAAGAATTGGCATGTGAGAAATAAGTTGATATGTCCAGTTGGAAGCTACTAGTAGTCCAGTGTATCTGTTAAAAATATATCTTCGGTCCTTTGCTCAGAGGAATTTCA